TAGTGAATGAAAGCCGATGTAATAGGCTTGTTATCAAAGGATACCGACAAAGAGAAGGACTAGATTACTTTGATACGTGATCCGTAGTTATAATGAGTGTGATCGCAATTGTGCGACATCTGGAAATACATCAAGATGGATGTTTATATAGCTTTCATATATAAAGATTTAGTTGAATAAATCTTTAAGGTTTGAATACTTGAGAAGATATTCAATACTACCAAGTGCATATTGTATTCTAAGTTTGATATGAAAGATATGAGCCTTGCAGATATGATTTTGGGTATTAAGATTACTATAACATCTGGTAGTATTGTACTTTCTTAGTCTCATTATGTTAATAAAATACTTGAGAAATTTAGTAAATCAGATACAAGTGTGTCGAGAACATTGGTAGACTTATGTCTACATTTGGCCAAGACTAATAGTGAAAGTGTATTTCAACTAGTATATTATCGGGTCATTAGAAGTTTAAAGTATCTGATAAGTTGTACAAGGCCAGGTACAGCCTACTCAGGTGGTAAGCTTAGTAGATATATGAGTAATCCTAATACTACTCATTGGAAGGGCATTATGCGGGTGTTGGATTATTTACATTACACAAGGGATTATGGGTTACATAACACTTGATATCTAGTTGTACTAGAAGGGTATAAAGGCGCTTACTGGATATCTGATACAAAGACTACGAATCCATTAGTGGATATGTTTTCTCTAATTGGAGCTACAACCGTGTCTTGGAGATCTTCCAAGCAAATGTGTATCACGAAATTAATAATGGAATCGAAATTCAGTGTTTTAGATAAAGCTACTAAACTAATTGAATGGCTTTGCTGTTTTATTGAGGATATTCCATGTTGATCAAAACTTGTGCTAGCAATTTTGTATACTTTGAGACAACCAATCAAGTATTAGTAGGGCACAGAATAATACGTATAATGGAAGGACTAGACATTTTTGTCGAAAACATAGTTCCATACGACGATTACTCTTGTGTGTTGTCACTATAGACTATATACAGTCTAAGGACGATATTATGGATCCGTTAACCAAAAGGTTAAATCGAGAGTTAGTAAGAAAGTTGTCAAAATGAATGAGGTTAAGGCCTTTAGTGAATGTTACCGGGATGGAAAATCCTACCTAGTTGACTGGAGATCCCAAGATCTAGGTTCAAAGGGACAACCTAATTGCATGTAGCGGGTGAGTCACTGTGAAGGTAAATCCTCTTACCCATTCCTTAATATAGTGATACTCTATGGAGAGGAAGGTTAAGCTGATGCTTTTAATGACCTAAGTGCTATGAGTAGTCAATCTTGGTATAGCGAGAAACCTTATGTAGGTCACATATGTGAGTGCAAAGTGGGGCCGCTTTTTTAAGAATTGATGAGGCCAAATTCTTTAAAAATACTCTATGAACTAGGATAGTGTTCCAGGGCCAAATCGGACACACCAGTGAGAATAACAACAGTGGTTAGAGTAACTCTTGTGTGAGGTCTAGTGTTTCGGTTTACACAAACGGCAGAACAGTTCAAGACATCACATTCACTGGTCAGCCAGTAAATCTGATAGGCTTTCACTACGAAAGGTTCAAGGCCAACAGTTACCTTTTCTGATGCAGGGTTATTCTGTGTGCTCTCTCTCACAGAGTCTTTGTTGTTAAGTATTGTCCGTTTTTCTTTATTCAGCCAATTTTATTCATGTGGGGGATTGTTAACGGGTTTTAGGCAACTTTAATTTAAAGTGAAACCTAACAGCCGGTTGAGGTGGATCTAAGTGGTTTTGTATTCTCTTAAGTGAGAATATTGCAATACAAAATTAATGAGCCAAAACCATTGAGTTGTGAATAAAAATTGTCTCATAAAGTAGGCATCAATAAAGTTGGGTTTAGATTTAGACTTGGACGTAGTTTCGGTTTGGACTAGGCCTAGACTTGTACTTGTGCATGTGTTAGGTTTGGTCTTAGGCTTGGGCTTGGACCTAGTTTTAAGCTTTGGGCTGAGCTGTGCTGGGTTTAGTTTGTGCATATGTTTGAGAATGGACTTGGATCGGGTTGTGACCCAATACCCCGTATCCATTTTGCAACCTATCTAGTTTAATTCTCAAAACTTATACATTATTACACATTATGATTTATATAATGGTTTAGGAGTTTTGAACCTTTGAAACTCTAGCCCTAATGGCTAAAGTTGATGACATTTGATGACCTCATTAATGTTAGCCTTCATGGCTAAGGCTCTCCCGTAGTAGTATAAATGGAGGCCTTTCTCCTCCAATTTAGTAGGTTGTTTTAGAGAGGTTTTGTGATGGAAAATGAGATGGAGTTTTGAGACAAAAAGTTAGAGATGGTTTTTTTATACCAAAGAAAAATTTTCCTATCTTCTTTTGTTTGTCTCTTCTTTAGTTCTTGTTAGAGAAAGTGCATCTATTGTCAAGTTCGCCGAAGCTACTTAGAAGGTGCTTCTGTATTAGCTAGTTTCAACCGTCATATCCTGGGAGACAGACGCTGTCCATCGAGAGGCGGTGAATCTGTTTTAAGGAAACTGTGATATCACACAGGCTTCGATTTGCTTCTTTTCTTATTATTTGTTCTTTAATTTTTCAGAATTTAGTTTACCTCAACAAGTTTTAATATTTAGTTATCCATGTTAATAATTTGTTCTTTTAATAATGTAATCTAATTTATTTATGTATTTAGTTGTGTCGTTTATTCTGTATTTCATCCTTTAATAATAAAAAAATTTTGTTTTGTCATTTTCATTTAATTTATTTTATATATTTTTCATGTATTATTATGAAAAAATACCAACACATACACATTTCACCTAATTTTTTTCGTTTCCCTTTTAAAATCCTTCCTCAAATTCATGAATTAAAAATAGCCTTAATCTCACGTCATAATTGGTGGGGGTAAGTTTTTATTCTTATAGATTAATTTAAATTTCATTTTAGTAACTATAATTTTAATTTAAAACAATATTTAACTCTTGCAATTTGTCATTCCTTCCAAATTATTGTCAAATTTTTATACATATACCCCTCATATGATTGACACATGTTAGAAAATTTTAAGTTTTAGAGTTTAATTTGAACGGAATGACCAAATTAAGGTTGAACTTTAAAGTATAGGGTCAACATTGTTCCAATTAAAATTATAAAGATCAAATTAAAATTTGTGTTAAAATATAAATGTGAAAAATGTGTGTATCATATAATGCGATAAGAAAAAAAATGATAAAATGAGATGATCATTCTAACATTATTATTTAAGTTAAGGAGGTAAAAGGTTTTTTTTTGTATTGAGGTCGATAAATTTTTTTAAAAAAAGTTCTTCCACTTAATTAAATAAGGATAAATTTATTTTTTTTAAAACTGGATAAAGAAGATGACATGTTCTTTTTATATTGTTGTGTAAAGATGAAACAATCCCAAAAAAAATAAATAAATAAATAAAAAAACAAACAAAACAAAACAAAACAAAAAAAACAAATGAGAGAAGAAATTAGTCATTTTAGAGACCTAAGGAAATTTCTATAATTATGCTAAATCTCAAGAGAATCCCTAATTTGAATACTGGAGCATTTTTAATTCTTAATCTTCTTTTTCGTTAATTTAAATTTGATTAAAAAATATTGAGTCTGTTTGGTAACATTTACGTTTTCAGTTTATATTTATAAAAATTTTATAAACTGATTTTTGTTTATTTTTTGTTTATTTTTATAAAAACATAAACTACAAACGCGTTTGGTAATTGACAAAATGTTTAAAAAAATTTAAAAATATAAAAAATAGTGAGAAATGGCATGTGGTGGTAAGTGGTGGTGGAAGACGGTGGTGGAAAGTGGTGACGGTGGGTGGTGGCGGGTGGGTGGTGGTGGTGGTGGTAGGTGGGTGGGTGACGGTGGCGGGTGGTGGGTGGTAGCGAGTTGGTGGTGGTGGTAATTGTGGCGGGTGGTGGCAGGTGGGTGGTGGATGGTGGTTGGTTGTGGGTGGGTGATGGTAGCGAGTGGTGGTGGTGGGTAGGTAGGTGACGGTGGCGGGTGGTGGGTAGTAGCGAGTGGGTGGTGGTGGTGGTGGTGGCAGGTGGGCAGCGGATGGCGGGTGGTGGTAGTGGTGTGGGGTGGGCAGGTGGTGTGATGGTGTTGGTAGATAGGTGGGTGACGGTGGCGGGTGGTGGGTGGTAGCGAGTGGGTGGTGGTGGTGGCAGGTGGGTGGCGGTTGAGTGGTGGGTGGTAGTGGCGGGTGGGTGACAGTGGGTAGTAGTGGTGGTGGCGGGCGCGGCGAGGGGTGGGTGGTGGTAGCGGGTGGTGGGTAGTGGTAACAGGTGGGTGGTGAGTGGTGGTGGTGGGGCAGGTGGTGGTGGGGTGGGTGGGTGGTGGGTGGTGGTGGCGGGAGACGGTAGTGGACAATTGTGGCAGGTGGCTAGTGTGGGGTCCCCTCCAGTGGTGGAAAATGGTGGCGGGTGGGACTAGTGTTGGGTGGCAAAAAAAAAAAACTGAAAACGGAAACACATTTTTTGAGTTTACATTTTTTGGCCAAATTTATAAACTGAGACCACTGATTTATAAATAAAAAATTTACCAAACAAGTTTTTATTTGAATTTTTAAAATTTTTGTAAATATAAACAAAAAATTGAAAACGTAAGTGTTACCAAACGGCAAAAATCATCTCTAATTCATTCATCAAATCAAGATTTTTTTTTTCAAATTGAAAATTCATCAAATCATTTATCAAGTTAAAATTTGATGAAAATTTAAAAAATAAAAGATTAAAAATATTTTTTTTCATCAGATTTAATGAAAAGATAAATTTGTTAAAAATTCATATCAAATTAAGTTTTGGAATGTCAAAAAATCAAATTAAGTGAAAAAATTTAATAAAACGTTAGAAATACTATAAATTATTCATATTTTTCGCCTCTCTTCTTCATGTAAAAAAAAAAAATGAAAAAAAAAGAGTGAATTTCTGTAAAAATAAAATAAAATGTCCATCATCTACTATGATTTGATCACATTCATTTTACGTACAAAATCCGACCCGAAATACTAACTCCCGACATTTTAAAATTTAACACCCCCCAAAAAAAAAAACACATTCAATTCAACATCAACTTCAACTTGCCTCATCATCCACACCCACTCCCAGCCCCACCACCTCGCTCAGACCCCTCCGCCTCCGGAGCTCCGGCGACCACCACTTCATCATGCGCTTCACGTGAAGCCATTGGTGGCTTCTCAAGCAGCGAGAGGCGACAGTTAGGGCACGAAGAGTGCGATCTCAACCACCTGTCTATGCACTTCACATGGAACCCGTGATTACAGTTGGGCAACACACGTACCTTCTCGCCCTCCACAAAATCTCCCAAACAGATCGGACACTCCGTCGCCGGAATCTCCATCCCCGCCGCCGCCCCGTACACCGCCACCGGAATCTGATTCAACGCCGTCTTCTTCAGCCCCGTGGCGGCGGAGAGCCTCGCCGCCTCTTGTTCCGGCGTCTCCGTCGTGAACCTCCGCCTGCAACGGAGCGCGCATCGCACGATTGAGTTTAATCCCAGGGCGCATATTAACGCGCATAGTAATCCGGCTAGTATGATTACCATGTTGGTGTCGAAATTCGCCTCGGTTATGTACGAGGCGGTTGGCGGCTTGTTGGATGGTGCCGGTGGTGATGTGTGAAGAAGGCGGCGGTGTATATTCATCGTCGTTAGTTTCGCCAATTATCACTCTTTAGACTGGTGACTGGTGATATCTGAATTCGAGTCTTATTTATTGCGTGATGCAACTTTCTGTTATATGTTGTAGAGATTCGAGTTTTATCCGTTACATATATGGCTTTTCTTTCTCTATTCCTCTTTTGCTGATTGTACACCAAAAAGCTAGAAAGGGTATTGTAAGATTGTTGTTACAATTGGTGGTATAATATTTAGATGGGACTTGGTGTTTGAGAAAGTGGGAAGTAATTAACACCAAAAAAGAACAATTCAAGGCTTTTGTTCTCTCTTCTTTGAGCAAAAAGATGAAAGTAGTGGTTTTTGAGTTACACAAATGTTGTCAAGACTCCAACTAGAAAAAAACCATAGAAAGAGCATGTTCCTTGTGTTTAGGATAAGAAAAAAGAGGAAAATTAGTATTTGAGAGAGGAAGTTACAGATTTAGGACCGTTTGTCGAACTTATTACTCCTAAAATAATTTTCAAAACTAACTTAATTGGTTCCGTCATGAATTACAAAACTCAATCTGAACCAAAACTGAACAAAAAGGTTTTATTGGAATTATAACGGCAAGACTTAACAACTTACCTAAATTTTTCCTTTTGCATTAATTCAGTGTCACCGATAGCAGCGCCAGTGGTGGTGATGGGTGATTGCCTTACAAACTCTTCTTCACATTAGAAGCAAGACCTTTATGGTGTGGAGGGACTGAAATGTGGCTTAATTAAGTTCCATGGGTTTTGGAAGGGCCAAAAGATATATACAATGGCTAGACAAAGAAGGGCCAAAAGATGCATACACTAGGATACAAAAAAGATAATATTATGGTAGCTCTGCCTACCTAATCACGATTAGGGTTTGCTAAATCCAAAATCTTAGTACCAAATCCAATATTAATCCTATGTGTACACTTGTCATTTCAACCAAATCCGACCATTGGACCCTATATGTTTGGTATGCCAAGTTGAGACATCATAGTGGAAATATTGGTTGCACTATTTTATTTGATATGGGTAACTTTTAACATGGCAAGTAGATGTTAGAGTCATATAATTGAGATAAAAATCACCATCACATCACAAAAATATATTTCTAGCTCATCCTTTTTGCCAGCATAGGCAAAATATCTTTGTCCCATACGAACAGAAATATTATTATTAATATTTAATGATGTCTTAAATTGAGTATTAATATAAATAATTTTTTTATATGAATGATCTACTCAAAATATATTAAAAACATTTGAGATCTCTAAAGTGGACGTACAACTCTTCAACTGGATTATGTTATCTTAGGAGACATGATTTAATGTCATTCCACTTTAATTTTAACTCAAATGGTTAGAGTTTGTACTTTGCTAACGTATTTTACTAAAAAAACACAATTAAATTATTGCAAGAAAATCAAACTGAAAAACTAGACACGATTTAGACTGGAGATGATTGAAAGTAAACCCCAAACTTTGTGGCCCACTCATCTAAAAATGAAGTGGACCTTCAGATGGATGGTTTTTAATGTGCACCTTCTTTTTTATTAAGATCGTCTCTCCAATCTAACATTAAATATTTCATCAAATTTAAATTTGATGAAACAAATTCATCTTTTATTGCTCCAACCAAGTCCTAAATGTTTCATCAAATTTAAAATTTCTCAAATCTTTCATCAAATTGAAAATGAATTTGCCTTTTATCAAATCATTATTCATAGCCGTTGGAGTTACATGTCATTTTCACCATCGGACAACCAACCGGATGTACAGCAGGATATCTCTCGAATGACCACTTTCTTGCAAAAATTTATAAAAAAATTACACTAATTAATCGACCAATCGAATATCTACCCGGTTGTCCGCTTGGTGTTTTGATAAAAGTCCATTGGAGCATGTGAAATTTTCACTTAAATTTAATGGGAAAAATAAAAAAAAAGCATTAGAAATGCTCTAACATTTGTTATATTAATTAAATTGAAGTTACATCAGCAGCTATATATGACATGAACTACTGCTTCCTAACCTTATTAACAATATGCAAAAACTGTTGGTGGTTGGAACCACCCACATAAACTCTGCAATCAATACGTATAAGTTGTGGTTGGTTGGTATTATTGTCCCAAACAACCCAAACCAAAATTAGGTGTAGTTTGGAAAGTTGGTTGGCTTTTTAGCTTGATTTTTTTGGTTATTTTACCTTGGGTTAAAAAGTTTGGTTTGAGAAGGACTTTTTAACTTTTTTTGTGAGAGAAGAGTATAATGATTATGAGTTAGATGTGATGTTTTGTTTTTTGTGATTAAAATAGTCTATTTTGTCTTTTGTAACTAAAATAGCCAAAAAAAATCTCAAATAGCTCTTCCAAAATGGAGCCTACCAATATTGCTTCCGTTTTCTTTTTTTAATTATTTTTTACTATTTTTTTTTTTTTGGGTGCAACCAAACTACCAATCTGATGCTTAGGTGAACTGAATCAGTATGGGTAGGTAGATCCCATTCCATCGAACTTGCAGAATGTATCAAGTCAAAAGTCTCAGAAAAATGACCATAAAATTGTCTAGAATTTCAAATCAATGGTCTATATTTTGAAATTTATTGTTTTGAGACAATTCATAAATCAATCTATTAAATGCAGATTCTAGGTAGTTTTATGGGATTTTTATCTTTATCTGCGAGGAATGTAGTGAGGTGTGATGTGCCGCTAATGTAATTTATTTTTTTTAAAATTTTTTTTGACTAATATCTTTGAGCTAACAAGTATTGTGGTACAATTTTGTACTAGTTGAAAATTAATAATAATTTTAAAAAAAAAAACAAATCATTTGTCATTCTATTTCTTAATAATTAATTAATTAAAAAAAAATTTACTTAATAAATTATAGAGTTAATTACTTAAAAGTCCTATTTACACAAATATTATGTTGCTTAGGTCCTTTTGAACATTTTTTGAACCAATAAGTCTTATTTGTAAAATTGATAATATTATCAGTTTTTTTCCAATTTTTAAAATTAAGAACATTATTAATTTTACATAGTAATATTTCAAATAATTGTTTCACTAACTGATAAAAAAACAGAGCATGAGATTAATTGTTTTTATCCTTCTACTTATTGGTTTTGATTCAACTATCTAATAAAACGGAGAATATTAACAGTTTTTTTCAGTTTTAAAACTGAAACATTATCATTTTTTTATTTTTTATTTTTTTTTAGTTTTGCACATCAATATTCAATTATCATGCTACTTTATAGACACAAAATTTTCAGTTTTGCACAAAAAAAAATTCATTTTTTTCAAAAAAAGTTTAGTTTTTTTTCTTTTTTTTGCACATAATTTTTTTTGAACAAATTATACGAATGGTTCCTATAGATTAGTCCATGTGTCAATTTGGTCCATGACTTTTCAGTTGTGACACATTTGACCCTGAATTTTGAATTTTGTTCTAAATAAGGACAATACCATTGTTCAATTTCAAAGGCAAAGTCATCAATTTGATAAAATATAAATTAATTTGACAAAAATAAATGTCAAAAAAATATTTTTGAATTAAAAATTATTTCTACCCACTAAAGATAAAATTATGTAAAACTGATAAACTTTTTAGAATTTTTTTTTACCAAATTGTTTTTTATTATGTGTTTGGATGATGATCATATAATAGGTGGTTGTTTTTATTTTCATTAAATTAGTTTATATTTTTTCAAAAGTCAAATATGGCGACAACTTTGATATTATTATTAAAACAATCCATTAAATTAAAAAATTCAAAACTAAAAATATTTCATATATTAAATATATTGATTACACATTAAAAGTCTAACAACTACCCATTACATGATTATCATCCAAACACATAATAAAAATTAATTTGGTAAAAATAAATAAATAAATATCTAAAAAAGTTATCAATTTTACATAATTTTTATCTTTGGTGAGTAAAAATTATTTTTAAAAATTAAAAAATATTTTTTTTGACATTTATTTTTATCAAATTAATTTATATTTTATCAAATTGACGACTTTGCCCTTGAAATTAAACAATGGTATCTGTAGTTGTCCTTATTTGGAACAAGATTCAAAATTCAGGATCAAATGTGTCACAATTGAAAAGGCAAGGACTAAAGTGACAGAAGTCCCAAACTATAGGAACTGTTAGTCTAATTCGCCCCCCCGGTTTTCTTTTCTTTTTTTCCAATTCGAAAGTTGATATTTTAAAGTTTTGAAAATCAAAATAAACATCAAATTATCATGTTCTTTCATAGATAATCATAAGTGATGAACAATCATTGTTTGAAGGGGCAATTCTGACTATTAAAAATTTAATGGGACTTGAAGGTCCAAAAAATCTTAGTTAGGACTTAATGGAATATAAATTCATAAATTAGGACTTGTGTATAAATGCCCCTAAATTATAAGTAAAAGTTACATCACACAGATTGGGACAAATTTCCAAAATTAAAAAAATAAAAGGGCAAACCTCACTTTACCTCCCTGTGGTTTGGACCGGGTGTGGTTTACTCCCTTGATGTTTTGAAAATAACCACATAATCACCAAGTGGTTTTCTGGATCAAAGTGCACCATCAGCATTTCCATCTAAATTAACGAAATGTGAGGCTCATGCGTCTAGAATGAGAGTAAGTTAATTTTTAAGACTAAGCCTTCGTTTGGGATGTGGGTTGACTTTTTGAATTTTTAATTTTTTGGCTATTTTAACTTGGTTCTAAAAAATCTCGTTTGGGATGGACTTTTTGATTTTTTTGACTTATGTGAAAGAAAAAGTGAAATTATTATGGTTTGGATGTGACATTTTGTCTTATTAGCTTTTTAACTTATTTTGTCTTTTTGTATCTAAAATAGCCAAAAAAGACGATGCCAAAGCCTAAATTACCCCGCATTCACCTTCAAATTTACAAAAAATACCCCCTTAGGCCATCTCCAACGATGTACCAAATCTATCACCAAATTCAAATTTGGTGAAAAATATCATTTTTTCCTACTCCAATGGTTTCATCAAACATATATCAAATTGAGACTATACAAAATGTTTCACCAAACTGAGGATGTTTGGCACCTTTCAGCATTCTACTGTGCATGGCTGTTGAGTTGTGGACTCACCAGACGACCGGCCGAATATCCACTCGGTCGTCATCTTAGTTGATACACACCCACAACAGAGCAATGGTTTGGACGACCGGGAGATGTAGGCCAACACATTACCTTTGAAAATTTTACTGAATGGTAAATGGATGGCATTCTATGGAACCTAAGATTTTATTCAAAATCACTGCTGAAACTGTTTCACCGGTTGTTTTACTGTATTCTGCCAAAGTGTGGTTTTGATTCTTTCTTTGATTCTCTTTTCTTTTTGTTTGATATCAAGTAAAACTGTTCTCATTGTAAGTTCTATATGCTAGTGTATGTTTCCCTAATTATTTTTTGATTATATTACAGATTTTGTCGTCTCTATTGAAGCAAATTCCATTTTATTTTAGCATTCGATTGGTTGCTCTTGCTATACAGAAGCACTGCTGAAACTGTTTCACCGGTGGTTTTGATTCTTTCTTTGATTCTCTTTTCTTTTTATTTGATATCAAGTAAAACTGTTCTCATTGTAAGTTCTATCTGCTAGTGTCTGTTTATCTAATTATTTTTTGATTATATTACAGATTATGTCGTCTCTGTTGG